AAGTTACTTAGCCATGAGCCTATGCTAGCTTTCTCTAAGATAGGCATAATTATCTCCATTTTCAGATGGAAAGCAAGATGTGTTCCACCATGAGATGTGACCAATATTAGCTGTGCGGACACACAGTTAATAACGGGCAAAGCTAGAATTTGAACCTAGATGTGTCCCTTCAAAAGCCCCGTTTCCTCAAAATTCTCTGGCTTTATCTCGTTTCCTTTGCTGGCAACTCCTTCTCATCCCAACCTTTAAACTTTTGAGTTCTTCAGAATTCTAAATCCAGGACTTCTCATTCATATCCAGGTTCTCAATAACATCTGTACATTGAAAACTGTCAAATGTGTTTTTTTCAGTCCGTGCTTTTCTTCTGAATTCTGACAGGTGCATCCAACTGCCTCGTTGACAGATCTACTTAGTATCCCAGATAAAACTCAAATGTCCCAAGTGAACTTTGCCAAGTTTGCTCCCCTTCCACTCTTCCCCATCTCAGTCAGTGACATCAACATCAACTCAGTTGCTCCAGAAACAAAGCAAAGAAGGGGGGCAGTGGATGGGTCACTTACCTTGCAGACATTTTCTGAAGGAGCCACATTCACAAATAGTTTTAAAGACAATATGTTGACATAAGAGTTGTTACCACTCTGATGAAGTGATGTAAGAGGAAGGAAAGTGAAAGTAAGACCGTGGCACAAGTAGAGAATATGGTTTTTTAAAAAGGGCACCTTAAAAATATACTCCCTCCTTCACTAAGCAGTAGGAGAGGATAAGGAGCTTGTTAGAACTTCACGTTGCCCTTGAGTTATCCATCCTCAACACCTCTTTTTGCTTGCCTAACTCCTATTTCATTTTCAAGATTTCAGTTTACATAATCCTCCAGACTAGATAACATTCCCCTCAGTTATGCAGTTTCATAGTATCTTATACCCATCTTTCACAATTCTTTTATACTTATAATTAATTAGTTGTGTGATTACTTAACTTCTAACTGAGATTGTAAGCTCCTAAACGTAGGAACCATGTCTGACTTCTTCACTTCTATATTCCAAAGCATCTAGCACAATGCTGGCATATAATAGGTACTCAATAAATATTAATTCAGTAAGTAAATGCCTATTACTTTCCACCAGATGAATATATGCCAGATTGATTTTCAATAAAGTAAAACAATGTCATTCTTCTACTGTGTTAGGTAGGAGATGGGAGTCACTGAGTTACAGAATGTTAGAATTGGAAGTACTCTCACAGAGCACTCAAGATATACAAGCAAACAGTAAAAAAAAAAAAAATCATTATCCCCACTCAAACATTTTATCTTTTGGGAGACAAGATACGCAGAGAAAAAAAAAATGTTCAACTGAAGACACTGCTTCTACGTGTCACAGGAATTCAGGAGAGGAAGGGGTCAGCTTGGGTGTATCAGTTAGCAGTTTCATAGAACATCAGGTGGGAGAGCTGGGCTGGAAGTCTCAATGGTGACAGATGGACTTTCTGCAAGAGTATAGAGATGAAAATCAGAAGATGGAAAACGGGGGTGCCTGGGTGGCTCAAACTCTTGGTTTTGGCTCAGGTTGTGATCTCAGGGTTGTGAGATCAAGCCCCATGTCTGGCTCCATGCTCAGCACGGAATCTGCTTGAGAATCTCTCCCTCTCCCTCTGCCCCTACCCCCACTCATGCATGCTCTCTCTTTCTCATATAAATAAATAAATCCTTAAAAACAAAACAAAAAGAAGTTGGAAAAGGAAAATGACTGAAAAAGCATTCGGAATAGAAACAGAAAAGATAGAGGACTAACAAGGCAGAGTGTTGTGGTAGCCAGTGAAGGAGTTACATGAGAGGATGCATGGGTGACAAGCCAAAAAGATGAGTGTGGTGCACCCTTCAGTCATACATTTCTAGAAATGGTCATGTGGTCACAGGCTGTGGTAGATGGCCTCTTAAGATGGCTCTCAAGGATGCCCACCTCTTGGTCTTTACACCCTCATATAATCCCCTTCCCTTGAGCATAGGCTGGGTTTAGTGACTATTTCTAGTGAGTATAATACAGCACAAGTTATGGTGTGTTAGTACTAATGCTAGTTTATGAAGTCTTGGAGCTTTCTCTCTCTCCCTCTCTCCCTGAGGGCAGCCAGCTGCCATGTTGTGACCTACACTTTGGAAAGGCCCAAACAGCAAAGAACTGAGGGAAGCTTCTGGCCAACAGCCAATGAGGAATTCAATCCTGCCAACAACCACGTGGGTGAAATGAAAGTTGAATCGCTCCCAGGTGAGCCTTCAGATGAAATCACAATCTCAACCAGCAGTCCGACTGCAAATTTGTGAGAGGGCTTGAGCCCCAGCTACTGAGCTAAGCTTTGTCTGGATTACTGACCTACAAAAACTGTGAGATACTATGCTTCTTGTTTCAAGCTACTACATTGTGGGGTAATTTGTTATATAGCAACAGACAACTAATACGATGGTAATCAAAATTATTATTATTTTTTAGATTTTATTTTTAAGGGATCTCTACACCCAACATGGAGCTCAAACTCACAGCTCCAAGACCAAGAGTCACATGCTCCACTGACTGAGCCAGGCAGGTGCCATAATAACCAAAATTATTTTTAATGTTATATGTTATATACATATACTTATATAAATATATTTTATAAGTTAGATATTTCACAATGTAGGGCAGAAACTCATGAGAACAAAGAGAAGATCTTTTTTTTTTTTTTAAGATTTTATTTATTTGACAGAGAGAGACACAGCAAGAGAGGGAACACAAGCAGGGGGAGCCGCAGAAGGAGAAGCAGGCTTCCCGCTGAGCAAGAAGCCCGATGCGGGGCTCGATCCCAGGACTCTGGGATCGTGACATGAGCCGAAGGCAGACACTTAATGACTGAGCCACTCAGGTGCCCCCAAAGAGAAGATCTTTGCTATTAGCCAGAGGAAAGAAAAGATATTAAGAAGTAGTCATTTTTTAAGGAATTTCCATTAATCAGGGAAGAAATGAGATTAAGTATCAGCAATAGAGAAAAGACGTTATTTTTTAGCCTAAAGGATTCATTTGAATAAATTTTACCTTTTTTTTTTAAGATTATTTATTTATTTATTTATTTGAGAGAGAGAGAATG